CGATGAACAGGAAAGACAGCAGTCAGACGCTCATCATGCTTCAAAAGGAAAATGAGAGACTGAGGAAAGAAATTGAGGACATTCGTGAGGTTTGTGCGACTTTCTCTTTTCAGTTTTGTCTTTTTTTTGCGAGAAATATGAGTTGTGTGAAGCGGTTGAGGGGATATTGAGATCAAGATTTTTTTTTTTTCTGTGTGGTGTCTCGAAAAGTTGCGCTCCACCTATGCGAATTTTTTATTTTCTCGTTTTGTCCTTGACGGTGTTGGATTTTTTCTCAAAGTCGATCACGGACGAAAATTAGCCTGGAAGTTACCATCGAAATTTAGATTTTATTGGACAAAACGGGAATTTCCCGATTTGGCAGTCACGAACAACATTTAGATATTATTCGAAAAAGCGCGAACTTTTTTATTTCCCGCTTTGTCCATTACGGTTTGGTTTGTCCATAGGGTCCCCTTCCCATGTTATAAGGGTTCTCTGCTACGAAATTTGTTTTTCCTGGTCCCTTGAATTTCGTTGTAGAGAGAAAGTCGTAATACAAAGTTTCGTTTGGGTTTGAAACATCCTAGATTTTAAACTCACTTAATATGCTGACTTTTCCAAAGCACGAAAACCTTTTTAACGCTCTGTAGTTTCTTCAAGGTACGCCTTTTATAAGTGAAACGGACTAGAGATTCTCTTTGATTTTGATTTCTGACGTCCTTGTGTTCGTCTCCTGTTCTCAGGGTCGGAAGATTGTGATTGGGAACGAGATTGTGAAAAGTGACTTATTCTTGGAGAGTCAAGTACACATGGAACGTATACGAGATTTGGAAATCAGCAACGTTGCGAAAACTGCGACGATTGAAAGCTTGAATCGAGAATTGGCCCAGTTTCGGTTGAAAGCTGCCACTACTTTGGTTTTAAGCAACGCTTCTGCTGATTTTTCGTCTGGTGAGAATCGATTTCCTTTTCTCGACCAAATTTTCTGTTGATTGTATGCGACTAATGCTCGCCTTTTTTTTTCAGGTGAAGATGGAATCGGTGGACTGTTGCAGCAGCAAATGGAGGAAAATGCAACTTTACGATCGAAAAGCTTTGAACTACAATCTGCGTATGATAAACTGAAAGAAAAGTTCATGAATGTGGCGAATCTTCGGGGTTTCGGTGGAGAAGACATCTTCTGCAACAGCGTCTCAATACCAAACTCTGCTTCCACTGTTGCCACAAATCCATCTACCTCGTCGTCAGTTGCAGCGGAAAACATGGGGGTTGCTCAAGCAATGGCTGTACTCCGGGGAGAAGTCTTGGAAGAAATGAAGAATGAATTGGTGCGAGCGAGAGGTTCTGAAAGTGGGAAAGAAGGTGACGAAGAGAAGGCAGATGGTGTGATGACCGGGAGTACCTCCACGGAAAACAATGGATCTTCGGAAAGCAGTGGCGACGAGGAAGATTCGGAAATGGAAAACGGATCAAGTACGTTAATTTTGTTTTCATTATTTCATTTATTTGTTCGTTTCGATCCTATTCGATTGTTTTCTCAATGTACATAGTTGTATGCGTGTAAAAACCTTGTTTTCTGAGCATGGCCCCAAAGCTTGTACGTGTGCACAATAATGAATAAGGAGTTATTTTTTTTTTCGTGACATATTTCGGATGCCATTCCTGGAAATTATGTTGAACCTCTGATCGAATATTTTGACTCCTCATTAGGTGCCATTGTTTATTTTCTTTTGCCCAATGCCGTCACTTCTTGGCACGAGAAAAGCATAATTTTTGCATGATTTTTCGATATAGTATTCTATTGTCAATTCCCGATTTCGATGATATGCCATCAGTCAGAGGCTTTAAAATTATAAATATATGATGCGTGTGTTTTTCTAAAAAAAAAAAATCAGTCGTAATAGTGTCTTGAATCTGCATTCGCATCTTGATGGTCTTCATCCAGATCCAGTTCTCGTGTAAATACTTTTTTTAAATTTTCCTACGCACTTTTGAAAAATTCTCGATTTTCTTCTGTAAAAATGCGGGTGCAATTTTCT